AGCGAAGCGGACTCGTACGGCAAGGCCGGGGCGGTGGCCGAGGAGGTGTTGGGCGCCGTGCGGACAGTGTACGCGTTTGACGGCCAACGGCGTGAGATAGACCGGTACAGCAAACACCTGGAGCCGGCCCGGGAGTCGGGCGTCAGACGGACCCTATTCACGGCTCTAGGGCTGGGCATTATGTGGCTCTGTATATACTGCTCGTATGGACTGGCCTTTTGGTATGGGGTGCGGCTTATTATCCGATCCATAGGTGACGGCACCAACCAATACGAGGCGAGCACAATGTTGATTGTGTTTTTCGCTGTACTGATGGGCACGTTCAGCATCGGTCAGACCACACCCTACTTCGAGGCCTTCGCTCAGGCCAGAGGGTCGGCGGCACTCATATTTGAAGTGATTGAACGCCGACCGGACATCGATAGCAGTTCCCTCGTCGGCGACCACATCGCGAACTTTGCCGGTCGGGTAGAGCTCCGGGCGGTGAGTTTTAGCTATCCATCGCGACCCGATGTGCCGATACTGCGCGACCTGTCGCTGGTGGCCGAACCCGGCCAGACAGTGGCGCTGGTGGGCCCGAGTGGGTGCGGCAAATCCACAGTAATTCAATTGTTACAGCGTTTTTACGACGGCTCCGGCGGTCAGGTGCTGATCGACGGCCGCGACATACGTGAGCTGAACGTCGGTTGGCTTCGCGATCGGATCGGTGTTGTCGGTCAGGAGCCGGTGCTCTTCGGCCGCTCCATCGCTGACAACATACGCCTGGGCTATGGCGAGGCCACCGACGAGGACGTGCGTCGGGCGGCCACCGACGCCAACGCCGCCGACTTTATCCGTCGACTGCCGCACGGCTTCGACACTCTGGTCGGCGAAAGGGGTAGTCAACTGTCGGGCGGCCAAAAGCAGCGCATAGCCATCGCCCGAGCGCTGGTCCGTAAGCCGAAGATACTATTGCTGGACGAGTCGACCAGCGCTTTGGACACCCAGTCGGAGGCCGTGGTTCAGGCGGCGCTGGACAGGGCGTCGGTCGGCCGAACCACTTTCATTGTGGCCCACAGGCTGTCGACCATTCGTTACGCGCATAAGATTATTGTGATTAATGGCGGACAAGTGGTGGAGACGGGCACTCACGAGGAGCTGATGAAACGCCAGGCGCTGTACTATAAGTTGGTCAAAACGCAAGACCTGTCCCAAAAGGAGATTGATTTGGGCGGCGATTACGGCGCGGTTGACGACATGCCAGACGTCGTGTCCACCGCTGGCCGCGGACTGAATGGCCGAGCGATCAGTTTAGTGGAGGCGATGGACGAAGACATGATCGGCGGCGCCGACGGAGCGATGGCTATGAAGAGCCGGAGGCGGAGCTCCGGCGGTGGCGGTAAAGAGCCGGTGGAGTCGCCGTCGCAAACACGACTGTTGGCGCTGTTGGCGCCGGACAAATACCTGGTGCTCACCGGAACCGTAATGGCATTCCTAATGGGTCTCTCTATACCGACGTATTCGCTGATCTTCGGCGACATAATGGCCACAATGGCCGAGGCGTCCATCGATAAGATACGCGACGACGTCTTCCTATACGCCATGCTATTCGTTACGATGGGTATTGTGTCCGGAATTGTGGCTTTCCTACAGGTATGTGTGTTTGTCTGACTACCGGACCCCCTAACCGACCTCAACCTTTCCCTTGCAATCATTATATGTCTTGTTTTTGGTAATTAATAGTTGTATTTGTTTGGCATTTGTGGGGAACGGCTGACGACTCGACTCCGGCGGTTGGTGTTTGAGGCTATGTTGCGACAAGAGGTGGCCTGGTTTGACCAGAGGGACAACAGCACCGGTGCCCTCTGCTCGCGGCTATCGTCCGACGCGGCCAGCGTTCAAGGGGTCAGTACTTTTAGATTATTAAGTGTTTTGAGTATTCATTTATTACATTACTAATAATTTTTACCATCATATTTGTATGACCATGGTCAAACCACACACACGCAATAGGCCGCCGGTTCCCGACTGTCCACTCTATGTCAGGCGGCGTCCACTCTGTGCGCCGGTATTATAATAGCCATGATTTACAGCTGGAAATTGGGTTTAGTTATGCTCGGCTTCACTCCCTTTGTGATCGTCGCCACGTATTTCCAAATGCGAATACTTAGCGGTCAAGTCGATGATGATAAACACGACACCGAGGAAGCGTCCAGGGTATATACAGCACCATTTCTTACCATACTTTTTAATCATGTTGTTTATGCAAATTTAATTATACAAATGCCCCCAACCCTCACCCCTAATTAGCCCTCACTATAACACTTGCCATTCCCTTACTCTCCACGACAATCATGTATTTGCGTATAATTAGTGGAAAGGGTGGGGGTTAGGGGGCGGGGAAGGGGCGTGTATATGAGTGAACGAGATAAAGTGATGTATGGTTAAGATCTAATAAATTTATTTAATTAACAATTATTTTGTTAACACTTGGTATACAGATAGCGGTTGAGGCGATCACGTGTGTGCGTACAGTGGCGTCACTGCACAGGGAGACCACGTTTATCGGCAATTATGTGGAGGCGTTGCGAAACCAGTTCCGCCGCTCCCGACTCAAGGCCCACATGAGAGGCATCACGTTTGGCGTCGCCCAGAGTTTGGGTAACTTCTCGTACGCCGTCTCTCTCTTCTACGGCTGTCGACTCATTGTGGACCAGGAGCTCACCTATGGTGATTTGTTCAAGTAAATGATCCCGATCATTAATTAATAAATAATTAGAATTTTTACATTAATATAATTATTGACTATCAATATTGAAAGGAGTACCGAAGCACTCATTTTTGGCACAGCTATGGTTGGACAGGCAGTCGGTAAGTTTACACCCATTTCTACGCCCCTCCAGCACCAGCATTCACCTTGATAATTATTACTGTTTAACAATAGCATTCGCTCCGGACTACCAAAAAGGTCGTTTGGCATCCGTACACATATTCAAACTGCTCGACCGATTGCCCAAAATACTGGTCAATCAGTTCACCGGCGATACGCCGGACATGAGCGCCGGTAACGTGCGGTTCGATGGGCTGGAGTTCACGTACCCGACCCGACCCAACGTCAAGATACTGAACGGTCTGAGCTTTGATGTATCCAAAGGGCAAACTGTGGCTCTGGTGGGCGCCAGCGGTTGCGGCAAAAGTACTATCATTCAACTCATACAACGCTTTTACGACACCGATGGCGGCGAAGTGGTCAGTCATTTATAGACCAATTTATAGCTATATATTTATCATGTACATTTATGTTATTTAAAAATGATTGTTACCATATTAAACTAGATACTGGATGGTAAAAACATACGTAACCTAAACATTCCGTGGTTGAGGCGCCGGTTGGGTATCGTATCCCAAGAGCCGGTGCTCTTCGGCTACAGTATTGGCGATAATATCGCGTACGGAGACAACGGACGGACAGTCGGCATGAATGAAGTGGTCGGTGCGGCCGAGAGGGCCAACATTCACGCGTTCATCAAATCCCTGCCTATGGGTTACGATACGCCCGTCGGAGACAAAGGCACACAACTCAGTGGTGGGCAGAAACAGCGCATAGCCATCGCCCGGGCGCTGGTCCGCGACCCGGAGATACTGCTCCTGGACGAGGCCACCAGTGCTCTCGACTCAGAAAGTGAACAGGTTAATTGACAATTATCATGTTAAAGTTTATTTACACTAAACGTAATTATACTAAACTTTATGCAAAATATTGTATAATGATTTTATATTGCATGAACAGGTGGTTCAACAAGCGCTGGATGAGGCCCGGGAGGTATGAATATTGTTGTAATTGATCATGTTAGTAGTTTATATTAATCTGGTTTACTTTTGTGTGTTTTGTATGGGTTAGGGGCGCACCTGTATTGTGATCGCACACCGATTGTCGACAATACAAACGGCGGATAAAATAGTAGTCGTGAGCAAAGGGGTGGCCGTAGAGGAGGGCACACATCACCAGTTGTTGTCCAAAAGGGGCGCTTATTATGACTTATATAACGCTCAGAGCTTAACGCACTAATTGTTGTTTCATTAGTTTTTTGTAACCATGTTGTATAATATTGTTTTGAGGTATCAACTACATTAAACCCTGGATTGGCGGCCAATTTATCAAATCATTATCACAATTATTTAATTATAAATAATACTAATTTATAAACTGTGTTATGAATCATAACCTATGATGTATAGAATACATACTTAAATACAATAAACTAAAATAATTTATAAATGACAGTACAGTGATGTTAGTATATTACTGATAACATCTAAACTTGAAAACAATTTAATAAAGTACAATATAATATACTGTGTACGCAAATACAGTGTAACTTTTCTATAAGAAACATTCACATGCAGTCTCAACATGCTTCTTATATAGATGGTTATCCTAAGAGAATTTAACATTATAATTTATAAATAAAGGAAATATCATTTCAAAATATTCATTGCTGTATTATATTTTTACGATGTTACATTTAAGATGTTACATGTTATATGTTACATATACGATGTGTTTTATCATAATAAGTTTGCCTTAGAAAAGCTGCACTGTACTGTCTTGTCTTATACTTTATAATATGCCATAAACATTTTATAATTTATTTAATCAATATCATTGTCAATAAAATTCAAAGAACATGGCAATGAAAATATATAAAAATTTAAGTCACACTGATGAATGCAATATAACAATTTACAAATAACACATGAAACCCAGAAATTACTGTACCTAGATTAATGCTTAAAACTATAAAATAAATTTTTCTAACTATTTAGAAGTGATTAGAATATATTATATTTAAATTCTATATGTATTCAAAATTGTTATAAAAATATGTTTGAAAATATCTGTGAGACACCAATTTGGGTATGAATTTAATTAATCATAAATTATTATATTTAATATAATAGTTTTATAACAATCTCTCTCTCTCTCTCTCTCTCTCTCTCTCTCTCTCTCTCTCTCTCTCT